CAATCGCTTGCTTTATTTTATTCGAATCCATGAAATTCACGATTTTTTTTACATTTGTTGGCAAATTTCCGCGCTAAAAAAGATTGAAAATGTGGGTGTGGTTATTTTGCAAAGTCCTGTTGATAATACGGACAAATATGGTTCTGTGACCCAGTTCGTGCTCCGATCAGGTGACTCTCAGCCAATCAATGATGTTGTAACAAAGCATATCTGACGCTAATTGAAGGGTCGTCGTACAATCCAATCACCGGCGTCGATTCACATAGTTGTTTGTGCTGTGACAGGCTTCAAAGTTATTCGCTGAAAAACATATATTTTGACAAACTGATGGAATTTGACTTTAGTTCAAAAAGAAAATACTAGGCTAAGATACATTAGAGCTCACGCGAATCAGTTTTCTCTGCAAGTTGTGAAATAAAGTAAACCAGAGTAGCGTCGATGATTTTCAGCCCTGAAGGACTTTGAATTGTTCATCGACTGGCCACCAAATAGTTATGGCTATAACTAAATTTTCACACTTTACTATCAAAACCACCATTTCGACCACCCATGTGCCAGTTTTCAGTGTTTGGGTGAGCGGTCAATGTTTTCAATGAGCGAGCGAGCGAAGAAAAAAACGCGATTAAAATGCGGTCGGTTTCCGGTCGGACAAGACCGCGTGGTCGGAAATTAAGCGATCGATGTAAAAGCGGAAGGTTGGGCGAAATGAGTACTGTATGACCATGTTTCTCCGACGAAGTCTCGACTGACAATAATGCTGACAATGGACGTTAGATAAACACGCATTGTTTGCAACTGGAAGCTTATCACCCGTTATATCAGAATCGTCAACAACAGAGTATACAGATAAGATTTTATCATTTAATTCCTTCCAAAGATAAACACTATGCAAATATCCACGAAACGGCAGTTGTAGTCTTTTCTGCTAGTGTTTTAAAACACTAATTTGAGCAACGTTGTTTCGCAATTTCGATCTTTTGTAAACCTGGGGTAATGTATCAAGGTCTAAAGTAACCGTTTTATCAATTTTTGAAAAATCAAGAAAAAAGTGAAAATTTCCCTTCTCGCTACCTTAAGAGATATGGCCCAATCATTAAAACAAAATGGCCGCCAGTCAACCATTTTGAATCCAATCTGAAAAATAAAATTACGTGCATCAGGAACCTGTAATGTCTAATGTATGTACCGAGTTTGAACGAAATCCATCCATAAATGCCAGAAATGCTTGATATTTGATGATTTTTTAGCAAAAAAATGACCACCATTCGGCCATTTTGAATAGGATCGTCAAACCAATATATCTGTTAATCTATGACATGATGTATAATGAATTTTTAAAATTTGAATATACCCGGTAATCAGTCAAAACAAGTCGGAGATATGGGTCTAGAAGCCCATTCATCCATTCCATAAATGCTTGATATTTGATGATTTTTTAGCACGAAAATGGCCACCATTTAGCCATTTTGAATAGGATCGTCAAACCAATATATCTGTCTATCTATGACATGATGTATAATGAATATTTAAAATTTGAACATAATCAGTGAAAGCAAGTCAGAGATATGGCACGAGAACCACATTCATTAAAACAAAATGGCCACCAGTCGGCCATTTTTAATCTTATCTGAAAAACAAAATTATTTGCATCAAGGTCCCATAATGTCTAATGTATATACCAAGTTTGAACAAAATCCATCTGTAAACAGCCGAGAAATGCTTGATTTTGATGATTTTTTAGCACAAAAATGGTCGCCATTCGGCCATCTTGAATCAGATCGTAAAACAAAATGATGTGCATCAAGCAAGGTCCTATAATGTCTGATGTATATACCAAGTTTGAACAAAATCCATCTGTAAATAGCCGAGAAATGCTTGATTTTGATGATTTTTAGCACAAAAATGACCGCCATTCGGCCATCTTGAATCAGATCAAGAAACAAATTGACGTGCATATGTATAATATCATGTATGATGTATGTGTGAAGTTTGAATGTGATTGGTCCAGGCATTTCTAAGATACAGGTCTGGACGCACACACAGACGCATGCACGGACACAGAGATCAAAACATAAGTCCCCGTTTTCGGACTGCGTCCGAACGGGGACTAATTACAAAAGCTACAACTACCGGTAGTTGCTTTGAAACACCTGAATATAAACAACTACATTTTTTTTTGCACTTTGTTACATGCACATTTGCAAGACAATATATGGCTAATTTGCACAGTAAAAAATTAAAATATTACAAATTCAAATCAAGTGTTAGCCCAAGTCCAATGAAATAGCAATCAGACAGGAGTGGCGTAGAGTGGCGTCTGCATTTAATAAACGTTTAGGAGTAAGTAAAACTTTCCAACATTTTTATTCATTATGATATAAAATTAATATATCCATAAAAACTCACTCACCTCATGTCTCGGGGCTGAATATCAACCTGTGGTGGCCTCATACTTGGTCTTGGTGGAGGGGGAGGTTCTTGAAATACTGGTGGGGAACCTTCTGCTACATTGAGTGTGTCGTGTACTGCTGACTACAGAAAATGATAACTCCGGAAATTCAGTGTTTGATTTGTCTTAGACTTAAGAAGTGCTACGCATGATAGCCTTATGATTTTGGACAATATACTGTATATGCAAACTCAATTTCATACAATATTACATTATTTTCATTTTTTGGTCAACAGAGGGCACACTTCTTCAAGATGTACAAATCCATTTAAATTTTTTGCTGTAAAATTAAGGTATTGAAAGTGTTGCCGATACATATCAAGGCACTAGAAAAGTAGAAAGCATTATATATGTAGAACATGCACAGTGACATGTACATTAGGTAAAAAAAAATAATATACTTCCAGTAATGTGCTAACAAATTATAGTGTTTTTTTTTTTTTATTATATTTACTGAAAAAAAATTACACCTATAGGCTTTTACTACATACATGTAGAATGTAGTCAATGAAATAAAAAATCACAACATTGGTGGAATAACCAGAGCTGATTTGTTAATAAACAAATAATTATGGTATGAAATAAACTCTTGGCATATGGAGTTAATGGAAACATAGACAGGGTTCTCCCCAGAAAAAATGCATAGCGCTGCAACTAATTTGCATATTAATTTGCATATCATTTACATACATTTCCTTCATTAATTAACAGAACTCATTTACAATTATGAATATTAATGAGCTCAGTCACAGTGCAAATATTTTTTTTAATGGAATCAACACATTATGTTTCACAATTTAGAAGAGTTTGAAACATTCTCGAAATACTGATGCTGCAGACTAAAAACAAACACAAATAAATTTTTGTTGCAATTTAACATTGCCGGAAATAGACAATAGAATCTGGTCAAGTAGAGATTTCCTGTCTATCCCATTGCAGTGACTATAATTACATGCAAAATTATTCAAGACAACGGATGATGTCATAGACTTTTAAGGTCTATTGTTTAGCCTAATTGAGAGTATATTGTTATGTTAAGTAGTTCACAGCTTGGGGTTGGAAACAATAGTAAGTGAGGTAATCTATTGTTTCCTTTGTTCTGTGTCCACTTGTATTTGTCAGCTGATCATATGAAGCCATGTAATAAATGGTTGTGGTTACCAGAGAACGAGATACCCTCAGGTACACTCTTAAGATGGCATTGAAGACAGCAACCCGTTATATACTTAAAGGCCCAGGTATACTATAAATACGCTCTTAAACAATAGGGATTATTTCCTTGCTTGTCACACTGTAGTAAACAGCTCCAGCCAAGCTCCGGTAAAAACGCGTTTTCTCTAACTTACAGGTCGATTATGTCGTGCCAAAGTGGATATATGTTACTATGAATATCACAGCAGTGACTGTGTGTAGTATTTATTACAATAAATAGTGTACGAGTTGAGATTTTGGCGGATAAAAGTAAAAAACAGGAACTGGGGAAAGGGACGCGTTACTAATCTTGAATAATTAACTGCTGTCAATCAAAGTCACGTTATGTTGGACTGCTGAAACAGGATGTGTCATAGGCTATGTAAGTGATTAACAACATTCATTAGCATAGTCACACCTCCAATTTACACTTGCCCGGGGCAAGTGAATTGGGCCTTTAAGGATGCGGTAGAGTTATTTTCGTGAATTTTGCTTTTTTTGTTATTACTTTTGTAAAGTTATTGGGCTCATAATTTTATCAAAATTAAAATTGAAACACATCTAGAATACCCTTTTTTTTAAAAAAAAAATAGAAAAACTACTTTATAACGGGATACTGTACAATTTGTTTTTGAGATAAAAGTCTGGACGCAAACAATAACATTGACTTATTGCGTAATTTACATAATCCCTTCACGACAGAAACAGTGCACACTGAAGACGACGCGGTCATATCAACTCCGGCTCCTGATTATTGATCAATCACAAAAAAGAGGCCCCAAGGAAAAACTAAAAACGCAGTTCAGAGGAAGCGAAACTTTACCTATAACAGAAATGCATTGCCGACAGTACAATGGGGTTCACACTTTGAGTATTCAAACCAAGAGGGTAAAATTTCGTCAGCAAACATGATCAATTTCCATCTTCCAAAAAGTCGGGCAGACAAGTTATGCAGGGCCGCCGTGTACTGTAACAACTTCGCTTCTTTTTGGAGGACGAATACGGACCCAAAACTTTATAGTTTGGGATTTTATTACTGCAAGGCTACTAAGTGACTCCATGTTATGTGTTTTGTTGTAAAAATCAGTCCATCTGATGCTTTAAATGTCCAAAATTAGCGCAGCGCAACGTGACAAATGTTTTGTTTTTTGGCGTTTCCAGGCAGAAGAAATCTGACGCCATGGAGGTCATTCAAGTGAGTTGTGCGTCGTCAGAAATTGACCTACTTTCATGAAATTCACACACATTGATAACGTATTGGCGCAGAATAAAACCCTTGAAGCATTTTTTGAGAACTTCTCGCAATAAAAAATAAAAGGCTTTTAAATTCCTTGTCTATGGGTGAAATAACAGGAAAAATGTAAATTGGTGTCATTGTAAACAAATATGCAATCTATGTTCTAACACTCTCGAGGCATTGACGGGGCTGATGCTGTCTTGATTTTTCAGCTTTCTTTTTTTACAGAACCCCTACGGTTTTCATACAAAACTAATTTTTATTCAAAATAACACTTCTATGTTTACTTAGTAATCACGTGACTAATTCGTGGTACATGTCACAGATCATTTTTTTCAAAAAGCCAGGAACAAGGGCTTCAAGAAAATATATAATTTGCTACGCTTCAAAACACTTTTCCTCATGAAAACAGTTTTTACTTTTTAGAGCATGATAACTCTACTGCATCCTTAATACAAAAATATGTGGACAGACTAATCTTGTAAATATCATTGTGGCAGTCAACGGCGATTGGTATGCAAATTACGTTTGTCTGACGCATTACAAAACAAAAGTCTAGACTGTCGTAGAATAATACACAACTCGCGGACAGACAGTGTGATGAAACCCCTTTTTTACAAAGAGGAAAAACGCCGATACAATATATTGATCTTGTGGTCTGACCTTCAGCATCAAAAGCAGTATGGCGATAGTGCTTCGCGTTCGAAAAGTGGGATAATTTTTAACATGGAATAACGGACATAAACTAAATCTTGATTCAGGTTACTTCCTGTTGTTAATTGGATTAAAACAGTTATATTTGCTAACAACTGGATCGTACATCTGTGTAAAAAATGCATGAATTTTAGCTCTAATTTGGGCAGCGAATACTGCATCTACAACTGCGTTGGCTGCGTCGCCGTGTTCATTGAACCAGAGAGTATCCAGAACGAAGCGAACAAACTTGAACAGTCACCTGCGTTACTGCATTTACCTATTTTTAAAAATAGAGTTTGGCACACAATTACATATCGTCCATTGGTAATACACTGGGCCAGTGTAGGATATATCATCAAGTTTTACGGCAAGTTGGGCATTTAATGGTGGAGTTTTGATGGAAACATCTATAAAATATCGAAAGCTTGGAACGTCACCTGTCTATTACGAAGCACACCAAAGTGAAAAAATGAAAAATATAAACTCAAAATTAAATTTTGTTTTAATAGATGTTTATGCAATGCATTCTCTATGGCACATCCTGTGATGTTTATTTGACTGGGGAACACTGGCCAGGGCGGAAGTCGGCCATCTTGTCCACTCATTTCTGGCAATGACAGTAGAGCCCTGCTTTCTGGCAAGAACATCTTCCTGAGTGACATTGTGTCTTGAAACCACACTTGACTAAGTGAAGCACTGACTGGGGTGCTGGGAGCTCAGTTGTCATGACGGGTGTCCACCC